TCACAGGCTTCCTCTCGGAGCCCTTCCAGGGCTGCTGGCTCCCGCTGGCGTAGCGCTCATAGGCAGGGTCCTCCTTCTCCTTCTTAATCTTGATTCTGGGTTGTGCCTCCTCTGCGGACACCGCCCTCCTCGCAGCCTGCGAGCTCTGCTTTTGCCGCTCCTGTCTACTTTTCTCCTTATCTGAAATACAGGGGTCATCTTTCGGGACGGACAGTCCTGCGAGCGTCACCTCAACTCCCCAAGCTCTGCCTAGCACCCTGGCGCCTTTCCAACTCCCCTCCCATTTTAAGTTCTCCCCCCTCGATAACCCTATTTACCAAAGCTTCCCCCCCCCCCCCCCCCCCCCCCTGTTCCCCCCCCCCCCTCAGAGAGATCCCATTCCACTTCCAACCCCGACACTTTTCTCCTCCGGCTTCACCCATCCTACTTCCTTCTTCAACACTCGCCACGTTGCGTTCTTCCCTGCAAGGCTGCCCTCAGGTACTGCAACACAGCGTGGAACACCGAGCACCGTCCTTTTGCTCTCTTTCCTCAGTAACAGCCACGCAGTAAGAACATCGTGATCCACCCCGTGGAAGTTCTGTTCTCCAGACCCAACAGTTCCTTTCCCTCTTTGCTCCCCTTTGCCTCTCTCATTTTTGCGCATCTCCTCGGCGCTCTGGAGCGACACCTTGTCCCCACCCTTAGTTTTGTCACCTATTTTCTTTCCTCCAACCCTTCTCTCAAACTAGGACTCTAGCCTGACAGACATGCCCCTCTGCCCCGTGCTAAGGCCCCATCCATCCTCTGTCCTCCTCCGTGCAACACAGCGACAAGCTCCTCTCTCGATGGGGGGTGGGAGCGCGGTAAAGACAGGTCTCAAACCCCCAGAGCGCAAGGGCTCGGCCGTAGCTACAAGATGGCCCCAAATATCTGCTGCTAATACCCCTCTGTCAGAGGCAGAGCCCGGCTGTGGGAAGGAAGGTTCCTCTGCATGCCACGCCATGGGCTCCGAGCCCATTTCAGAACAACAGACGCCCCCACCCCAGCCCACGGTCACCACACCTAACCGGCTCATCCTGGGAGCCACAACTCATCTCTGGAGGATGCCGCCTGGAAGTTGTCGGCAAGCCACAGTAAGCAGCTCCTACTGCGAGAGACTGCTCCTAGCGCTCCGCTGGCTCTGACAAGGGTGACTTTTCAAGATCTCTGCTGCATAGATGGAAAAAACCCTAATGGCTTCCTAAAAGTCCATCCGTATAGCTGCACAGGCTGGTCCTTTACGCGGCACGTTCGTTCAAGTTCAATTTGGATGTACTCTACATCTTTCCGTTTTCTTCTGAAAGATGTAGAGCAACAAATCCTGCTGTGTCCACTGAGAACAGGAGGCATTCGGGCACTCGGACGGTTTAACTCGTGCTGCATTTTTAGGTCTACTTTCACAGAATAGCTGGGGTTGGAAAGGACCTTTAAAGGTCACCTAGTCCAACCCCCCCCACACTTTCTTTGGCTTCAGTTTCCAGCCACAGAATCTCATCTAGATCTGCTGGTATTATGTTCTGTTCAATTCAGTTATCTTGCAGAGGCCACATAATGGTCATTCCATACGTCTACAGCCCTCTAGTTCTACAGTAGCAGCATCCAGATTTTAAGATTAAGTGGTGCTTTTCCTAAGCCTTCCCTCTCCCCGTCCCCCAACAGCGCTGCTCCCCCCTGCAGCAACCCTGCAGCCTGGCAGGCTTTTTTCCAGGAAAAGTGCTATTATTGTCTGCAAGATACAGCCCTCCAGAGGCTGGGGGAGGACAGTCACAAGTAAGGGCTAAATACAGGCACTCAGATACCCCTTCGGGAGATCACAAGGTAAAGCCTGGACGTTAGGGCTGTGGCTCTTTTCAAGAGCACACCCGTCCTCGATGTGCCCCCGAGCAAAGGGCCCTTGCGAGGCCGAGGGCTCTGTGCAGACACTCCCACCTGGGGTCAAGACTGGCAGGAACACACCTCACCTTTCTGCTTTTTTACGGGCACGTCGTCATCTTCCGACAGGGAATCGGATGACGTATGAGGTGGCGTTTTAACTCCGCAACCCTTTGCATGGAGGGCTTTTGTGACGTCATCTAAGTCATCGGAGTCTTTGGGGGGCCGATAGTTGGCCACGTGGTCCACTCGAATCGTCCTTCCTTTGATCTACGAGGGGAGCCACGCTGTCAGCGAAGGCACAGGCCAGCTCCCCGCGCGCTGCGGGTCGCCAGCGACCCGCGCCGTCGGGGCTCCTGTTTGACGTGAAGCAGCGCCTCGGGAGCCGCCCCAGGCAGGCAGGGGCCGCGCCCCGC